CATACTTTGGACATGTTTTAAGGAGGGAGAGTTCCTTGGAGAGGGACATCATGCTTGGGAGGGTGGAGGGACGGCACAGAAGGGGAAGACCCTCTTTGAGGTGGATTGATTCAGTGACTGGGGTATTCGGGATGGGTGTGTCAGAGGCAGTGCGACTGGCACAGGCTAGAGCTGGATTTAGGGCTGTTGTACATAGGGCCGCTATGAGTCGCAAGCGACTCGATGGCACATAACAACCACCATCAAATGAAAATAGGAAAATTATAAACGTGGAAACATGAAAACAAAAGCAATGCAGAAAATCAGGAAAGCCACAACCAAAATTAATTCAGCATAAAAAAGTAGACAGAACAAAGAAACCATGAAAAGAGTGCAGCAAAGTGGCACCAATAAAAGTATATGTATTCATAATCATACTACATATGAATAGATTAAATAAATGTACCAGGCAAGAAAAAAGAGATGAACAAAACGGTTAAGAAACATGACCCTTCAGAATGCTGTCTAGAAGAGATACACTGTGAGACAGAGAGCCAAACCAAGATAATTAAAAATTAAAGAACAGTTAAAAATTTCAAGCAAGTGGGAATGAATCAGAACTCGTCGGGATGGAAGTATTAATGTCTGGTAAAAAAAGACTTCAAAGCTTAAAATCAGCATTAGGAGATGAAGAAGGACATATGACGATTAAGGGGCCCTTTGAACAAAAGTGTATAGAAATAGTAATTATGAACAGTGACAGAGATCAAACAGACCTAAATGTAAATAAAATATAGAGAAATTAATAATTCCACAGTAAGAGCAAACTTAACTAAATTCACATTTGATGAAAGACAGAATGACTGACTAGAAAAGACAAAGAACTGAAAAAATAGGGGAAATCAGCTTAATCCCATTGACATAAGTAGTTCAACTGTCAACCCAAAGACATATGGTTCGAATCCACCAGCTATCCTGGTGGTCAAAGATGGGCAATTTATAGTCTCTGTAGAACTGCTGGAGGGTAGGCTTCGACTCAACAGTACAGGACAACCACCACCACTCACTAAGACCAAAATACTCATCCATATAGCAGCACTTGAACAGCCTCTGAATAAACCACATGTTAGGTCACCAAGCAAACTTAAATAAAGAAAAAGCCAAAAAAAAAAAAGAAAAGAAAAAGCCATAGAAATACTGTAAGGCATCTTCTGAGATAACAATGCTATAAAGTAGGAGTCAACCAATAGAAGCTCAAGGTAAAAAAAAATTTTTAAATAATCACGGAAAGGTAATCATTTCCTACTTTAACATTACTGGATAATAGAAAAACAGAAAAAGAAAATACTTTCTTGAAACAAGAAAGAATGAAAAGATCATATACCAAAATCTTTGGGACACAGTAAGGACAGTATTCAGAGTTGAATTTACAGGAATAAAGGCACATATCAAAAAAGAAGAACCAAAATCAATGCCATAATGAATTATCTCCCAACAATTAGGGGGGAAATAAACCTCACCAAACAAAATAAACAAACCCAAAACAGTAAGCAAAGTCTAAAGTCTCTAGAAGAAAGGAAATAATAAAGACTAGAGGAAAAGAAAATGAAGAAAGAAGAAACACTAGAAAGTGTGGTTCTTTTAAGGGCTTACTGAAAGATACAGGCCATGAGCAAATCTAACAAAGGGAAAAAAGATAAGATGCAAATGAAACAAACATAAATGAATGAGGTTACAACAAAACCAACTGAAATAAAAAGGATAGTAATAACACAATACTTGGAGAAGCACATC